CCTCCCAAAGTGCTGGGATTATAGGTGTGAGCCACTGCTCCTGGTCCGATTCTTTGTATTTGTAAAAAGCATAATGTACTTCAATATATTCAAAATTAGACTATTATTTAGAAGTATATCAATTTGCAGCCAGGGCAGTGGCTCACAACTGTCCTTTACACATATCAGATGGTAGTACAGGGCCGAGCATGGTGGTTCATGCCTATAATCTCAGAACTTTGGAAGGCCCGAGGTGGGTGGATCACCTGAGGTCAGGAGTTCGAGACCAGCCTGGCCACCATGGAGAAACCCCATCTCTACTAAAAATACAAAAATTAGCCAGGCACGTAATCCCAGCTACTTGGGAGGCTGAGGCAGGAGAATTGCTTGAACCCGGGAGGTGGAGGTTGCAGTGAGCTGAAATTGCACTCTAACCTGGGAAACAAGAGCAAAACTTCGTATCAATAAATAAATAAATAAAAGGGAAGGTCGGGTGTGGTGAGCCGAGATCACGTCCCTGCACTCCAGCCTGGGCGACAGAGCAAGACTCTGTCTCAAAAAAAAAAAAAAAGCCTGGGCTACAGAGCAAGACTCTGTCTCAAAAAAAAAAAAAAAGTAATAATAATTTAATTGAGCAATGAATGATTCACGAATTGGGTAGTCCCCAGAATCACAGCAGATATTCAGAGAGACTCCATGGATGCCTCATGGTCAGAACAAATTTACAGACAAAAAGAGAAGTGACTGGTAAAATCAGAGTGTGAGGTCCTTAAGTGGATTGCTTACAGCCCGCGCTTTGTCTTATTTGAACACAATCGAATACCTGGGCAGTGTATGAGTGGTTGAAGTGTGGTTGCTGGGATAGGCCAAGGCTAGTTTTCAATCTTGTCTCACTGTTTTAGTTAGGAAGGCAGTTTGACCACAAGGACTCAAATACAGGAAGCACAGGAGTCCTTCTCAGCCCATCTTTAGTTCGCTTTAACAATTACTCCCCTTTTGGTCATTTTCAATTCTTTAGAGATTGACAAAACTTCTGAGCTGTATTGATACACTACCACCATCATAAATACTATTGGTACATGAACCTACTGGGAAACAGAACACTGTGGGCTTGCAAGGAAATGGAGACTCAGCAGAGGGCTCTTACATTGAACATCCTGTTTATAGGAGAAAAACAAAACCTGGTCTAGTTCTAGGATCTATGTGTTTCCTTAAAGTCTTAATCAGATTATGTCACATTTAACACTTAGCAACTCCATTTTTGTCAATGGTCTGTTGGGGCCTAGTGCATGAGCTCAGCCTCCCAAAACAATGGTCTGCCATACTTTGTTTAAAAAAATTACCCCTTTTTGGTCAGGTTCTCACTTAGGTGACAGCGTGACCAAAACTTATAGGGTCTAGTGGGCACCACTTTCCGTTACCATCATTTTGGGTTTCCAGTCTCAGTATGTCATTTATAGGTTACGGTGTCCTCATGGTCGCACATTTCTTTCACTTCTCTTTGCCTAGTTGAACAGAGACCATTTGACATTCTAGAGATGGCTGCATGTAAACATCTAAAACCTTTGGGAGAATACAGTGCACCAGGAGACTATTACTATCAGAGGATAATACCAACAGTTTGGAGTATGCTCCTCACCCAGGGTCGCCATAAACCAAACCACCTAAAATCAAATAGATTTTGTAAAAGGAACAGGCGGCCGGCCTGGTGGCTCACTCTGTAATCCCAGCACTTGGGAGGTCAAGGTGGGGCGGATCATGAGGCTGCAGATTGAGACCATCCCACAACAGTGGTGAAACCCTGTCTCTACTAAAAATACAACAAATTAGCCAGGCGTGGTGGCGGTCACCTGTAGTCCCAGCTACTTCGGGAGGCTGAGGCAGAGAATGGCGGAACTTGGGAGGAGCCAGTAAGCTGAGATCAGTGCCCTTGCACTCAGCCTACAAGACAGAGCAGACTCGTCTCAAAAAAGAAAAAAAAGAATGAGGCCGGGAGTTGTGGCTCATGCCTGTAATCCCAGCACTTTGGGAGGCCGACGTGGGTGGATCATCTGAGGTCAGGAGGTGGAGACCAGCCTCCCAAAGTACTGGGATTACAGGCGTGAGCCAACGTACTCCAGCCGCAGAGGCAAATTAAGAAAAGGTTAAGAAGGAAGCCAGACATTGTTCATACAGGGAAGACCAACAAATGGTAAAGGTCACAAAGACAGATATCAATCATGTACTCATTTCCTAAGCCAGGATTGAACCCGGCCCACTATTGTAAAATGGCAGAGATCAAAAGAAAGTACTACTACGTGGTGGCCGGGTAAGATGGTCACGCCAAAATTGCAGCACTTTGGGAGGTCGATGAGGCTGGATCATTTGAGGTCAGGAGTTCGAGACCAGTATGGCCAACATGTGTCTCTGTCTCTACTGAAAATACAAAAATTAGCTGGACGTGGTGGCACACGCCTGTAGTCCCAGCTGGCTGGGAGGCTGAGGCAGGAGAATAGATTGAAACTGGGAGGAGGAGACTGCAGGTGGTTGAGATCCTACCATTGCACTCCCAGCCTTGTGAGTAAGACTTTGTCTCCAAAAAAAAAAAAAAAAGAAGTACCACCACGTGGTTACAAGGTCAAGCTCTCATAAGATATAAAGAAGATAGAAGACCTCATCCAGCTTGGTTTACTTTCTGAGAGTTTGTAACTGACCAGTTTGTAACTGACCAGTTTTCTGGCCATTTGTCTGTTAGTTAGCAAGACAAAACCAAATTTGACAAGTTGCTCTGCTTAAAACAAAACTCAGGTTTCAGGACAGTTGCAGGATTTAAGACTCCGAAAAAGACAAAGTTGGGAAAACATCATGGATGTGGCTGACCAGCTGGGTCATCATTGCCTACAGAAAACGGCTTGTTTCTGATGTAACCATCTGAAATTGATCTGTCGTATTGGGCCTGCCTTCAGCAGAGACTGTTTGCATTTAAGTAATGATTCCTGCTAAAGCTGCACACGTGGCAGGGCACATCTCGGCAAGTGAATTTCCACCCCAGTACTGAGAGACTGACTGACCTGTCTCAGGCCATCATCTTACTGCTGCAGGCTTCTTGCATTTGGCTTTTGGTATTAGATGCAGTTTGCAACAGTGAACTGATACCTTGCCTACTCCGCCTCTCTGGTGCTGTTACAGAAAGCGTCCCAATCCAGACCCTGGGAGAGGCTGTTGATCTCAATGCCAAGAAAGAATTCGAGTGGAAAGAGTCCGCAAAGTGAAAGCACAAGTTTATTAAGAAAGTAGCGAACAAAAGAATGGCTACTCCATATTAGAACAGCCCTGGCAAGGCTGCTGGTTGCCATTTTTATGGTTGTTTTCCATGATATGCTAAACAAGGAGTAAGTTGGTTTCCTTTTTGTGACTTGACATATAGGTAATCTTCATGCTGCTATGGCATTTGTAAACTGTCATGATGGCCATGAGTGTAGTGAGGATGCACTGAGGTCAAAGCATCATTGCACATCTTGTTTGGTGGTTTTAGCCATGCCTGCTTTGCAGCCTGTTTTATCAGTGCATATACCTTATGACTACATTTTTTTTTTTTTTTTTTTTTGAGATGAGAGCCTGGCTCTGCCGCCAGGCTGAGCAGGTGGTCGATCTCAGCTCACTGGTGTTCACCCGGGTTCACTTCACCTCTGTCACCCTGTGGAGTGGCTGGGACTACAGGCGCCGCCACCTCACGGCTAGTTTTTTGTATTTTTAGTAGAGACTAGGTTTCATGCAGCATAGATGGTCTCGACCCCTGACCTCGTGATCCGCCTGCCTCGGCCTCCCAAAGTGCTGGGATTACAGGCTGAGCCACCACGCCCGGGCCATGACCTATATCTGTGCTGACTCCACATGTTATCCTGTGACTGAGTCTACAACTCGAGAATGCAGCTCTGTGCAGGTCTAGTTTATTTATCAGCCTTTGTCATAAGATGAGTGGTCTGGTTCAAATGCTTCTGACACACAATTACTAAGGCATTTTAATTTAGTGATTGGAATGTTGTCCTTAGAAGAGATTGATCATCAAGGCCATACCTGGATAAGGTGATCAGGATGAAAAAGAAGTGGAAAGTTATGTGGAACCCTTGAGACAGAGTTTTGCACTTGTAGTTGCCCAGGCTGGTGGCGGCGGCCACGCAATCTCGGCTCACCACAACCTCCGCCTTCCTGGAGCTCAAGCATTCTCCTGCCCAGCCTCCCATAGCTGGGATTACAGGCTGTGCCACCACGCCAGCTAATTTGGTTTTTAGTAGAGATGGTTTCTCCATGTTGGGCTGGTTCAACCCCTGACCTCAGGTGATCTGCCTGCCTCAGCCTCCCAAGTGCTGGGATTACAGGCATGAGCCACTGTGCCTGGCCCGTGCCATTTTTTAAATATTAAAAATCAGTGAATTTTTTCCTGAATAATTCTGAACATGATGTGTCTTTCTGCTAAACTATATTGAAATGTTTTTCTGTGAAAATGCTTTTGTGGCTGTTGAATACAACCTTTCAGACAGCAAGTCTGATAAGAGTAGGAGATGATTTTAATGGCCGGGCGCAGGAGCGCTGATGTTTCAACTATGATTGGTGGTTTGAGGAGGAGTGGATCACCTGTGGCTATGTCTGTAATCCCAGCACTTTGGGAGGACCTGAGGCTGATCACCTGAGGTCAGAGCTTGAGACCACCTGACCAATGGAGCAACCCCATTTCTACTAAAAAAACAGAATTAGCTGGGTTTGGTGGCACATGGCTGTAATTCCAGCATTTGGGAAGGCTGAGGCAGGAGAATCGCTGAACTGAGGCGTAGGGTTATGTGGGCCGAGACAGTGCCACTGCACTGCAGCCTGGACAATGAGTTAGAAACTACTGTAAAAAAGAAAAAGAAAAGAGTGGGAGATGATTTTTTAAATGTCTGATCAAGAATGGAATGAACTGATTTTTGTAACAATAGGGAAAACAAAACTGCACCCTGGGGAGATGGGCTGTAATAGTGTTGAATGATCTTTTTGTTTTTCAGAACAAAGCCTTCCTGCCTTCCTGGGAAAGAAAACTCCATTGTATGCTTTTCAAGCTGCTGTGAAATGTTTGAATTCAAACTAACTATTGAGCCTATGCTCAACCTGACCACACTGCCTTTCCAGAGGGGGTGAGTAACCTGCCACTCCGCCCCTTTCCTGCAGAATGCCTACAGATGCTATCCATACTCATGAAGCTGGATGTGTCATAGGTAAATCAAACTGCTTGGGGATTGACTGGCCTGGGTGAAAATGCCCTGAAACCAAGGGGACTGAACTGCTTTGGTGGGAGCTCGAAAGAGAACTTAGAGTGAGCCCACAGTAAAAGGCTGCAAATTGTTAATGAGACTTCATGCTTGTCCTATGCGACTCCACCTCGGAGAAGACTCTGAATCTTGCAGACGTATTCCCCATACTCTTTGCCCACATGCCTTTCCCTTTGCATCGTGTTTTGTATCTGTCAGCCAGAGCTAAATCTTAGTTGTGAGTGCTGCCTGCATGCCGAGTATTGCCTAGTCCTTCAGTGGATAACGTCTCGGGAGCTGTCTTGGGTCCACACACAGGTGGCACTTCACACAAGAATGCAGCTTCAAAGAAAAACTACTTAAAACTATACGAGAAGGCCAGCGCGTGGCCCAAGCCTGTAATCCCAGCACTTTGGGAGGCCGAGACGCGATCACAAAGCAGAGATTGGAGACCATCCTGGCTAACACAGGAAACTCGCCTACTAAAAACATGCACCGAGCCGGGCGAGGTGGCGGGCGCTCGTAGTCCCGTACTCGGGAGGCTGAGGCAGGATAATGGCGAACCTGGGAGGCGGAGCTTGCAGTGAGCTGAGATCCGGCCACTGCACTCCAGCTCCGGCGGCGGGCAAGAGCAAGACTCTGTCTAAAAAACAAAAAACAAAAATAAAAAAACAAAAACTATACACAGAAAAAGTGAACCCTGCCACTTCTGGGCAGAGTTAGAGTACAGGTGCTTGGGTTTCAAAAGAGGCTTCCAAAATGTACCTTGTTTTGCCTTACTGATCATTATTGATGAACTAATGAGTACATTATAGTCTGGGCATGGTTGCAGAAAAACTGAATATCAAGTTCCAAGCTTTGTGAGAACATTATGGCAACAAAATTACATGATGACTCACAGTCTTCCATTCATGACCTGTGTGATGTCGGAAAAACCTTGAGAATAAAATAATTAATGGAATCAATGATGACTGACCTGAGCTTCCTAGGTAAGGATCATAGCCACCTGGATACACCATTGCAGCAGGTATGGCAAATCGAGCATCTACAAGTCAAGACTGGGCCTAATAATAATTTAGCACCAGGACATGAGGCCAAGGAACGACTATATGTGCCTGAATGTTACAATCACATAGTTGAGTAACAAAGGGAATGTGCAGACTTGTAGTTAGGCGCCACTGACCTGGCCAGCCCTGGCAACTGCACGCTGGACTAAAATCCCTCCTCATCCTCTGATCTTCCAGCTTCGTGGGAAACTGGGCTAATTAACACAGGAGCAGCAAAGAGCCAGGAAATGGGAGATTCAATGAGTAGAGTTGTTTTGCTGCCCAGCTAAGTTGGATTTGGAAGTTATATGAACAGATGATAAGAATCAGTGAATATAAGATGACAGCTCTAAAAGTGTCTTTATGTAATTGCATGTCAAGTGGAGATATTTTAGGTGGCTCCAGGCTATGTTAGGAAGAAACTGCTGAGCTACCTGGAAACAAATCTGGGCATATGGTGTGAGTGAGACATGGGGAGGATCAGTAAAGGATGATATAACACAGTCAGGCATTGCTCAAGTGCTGCCATGGCTGTGGCAGGACAGCAGCACCTGTCTCGCTGGGGAAGACAAAGCCAGGAGGGACCATTGATCTCTCAGCTGCTGTCTACATGACTGCTGAAGAGCCACCTCTCAGCTTGACCAGCAGGGAATCTTCATCTGAGAATTCTCAACTGAAGGCGATTGCTCTAACTCTAACTGCTGGATCTATGTTGCCTAGAACAAATTTAAGAAAATTGTATAAGCCTGGGCGGGGTGGCTCATGCTCATGATCCCAGCACTTTGGGAGGCTGGGGCAGGTGGATCATTTGAGGGCAGGAGTTTAAGACCAGCCTCATGCACAGGAAACTCGCTTCTTACCAAAAATACAAAAAGTAGCCAGTAGTGGTGGTGTGTGCCTGTAATCCCAGACACTTGGGAGGCTGAGGCACAAGAATCTTGGCACTTGAATCCTGGAGGCAGAGGTTGGTAGCCCCAGATTGCACCACTGCACACCTGTAGCCTGGGCAATAGACAAGACCCTGTCTCCAAAAAAAAAAAAAAAAAAAATTATTACACTAAAGCACCGTGATGGGGTGGACTGTATTTTGAAGAGTTTTAATCTGTTGCAAAAAGGCTCACAGCCGGGCGGGAGGCTCACGCCTGTAATCCCAGCACTTGACAGCTGAGGCATGGATCACAAGGTCAGGAAATCGAGACCATCCTGGCTAACATGGTGAAACCCCATCTCTACTAAAAACAGCAAAAACAGGCTGGGCTTGGTGGCTACGCCAGTCCCAGCTACTTGGGAGGCTGAGGCAGAAGAATGGCGTGAACTGGGAGGCAGATGGCAGTGATTCCGAGATCATGCCACTGCACTCTGCAGCCTGGGCAACAGAGTGATATCTCCATCTCCAAAAAAAAAAAGGTCACGCTGGGCACTGGCTCATATCTATAATCCCAGCACTTAGGGAGCTGAGGTTGGCCTGAGGTCAGGAGTTCAACCAGCCTGGCCGACATGGTGAAACCCTCCACTAAAAATACAAAAATTAGCATGGTGTGGTGGCGCGATGCCTGTAATCTCAGCTACTCCGGAGGCTAAGCAGGTGAGAATCACTTCAAACTGAGGTGGAGGTTGCAGTGAACTGAGATCAGGTCACCACGTTCCAGCCTGGGCATACAGCAAGATCGCACTCCCCAAAGAAAAAATAAATTAATTTTAAAAAGGTCAGAAGTGCAGTAGGGAAACTGCTCTGTGAGGTGTCCTAATGACTTTGCATGTGTCCATACAGACTGCAGACAGAAAGGACTTAACTCAGTTGATTCAAGTTCTTGCAACTGCCTCATGATGCTCCCAGAACATGAGACAGGAGAGGTCAGGGGAGGAGATAACATGAGTTTACTTCTCCCATCTCCTGTCTTCCTCAGAGGTGCCATGGTGAGATGGAATATTTCTACCCTGAAATGCCTCTTCGATACTCTGAAGGTATAAAACTACTATAAAACCATTTAGCATGAAATCCTCAAACTGCTGAGCAACTTTCATTATCATTTTCCACATGATGTTGCTGCACAATGAGTCCTTGTAGGATGTGCCTTCTGCTGAAGGCTACCTATCTTCCAGTCCTTAATCTTTTTTTTTTTTTTTTTGAGATGGGAGTTGGTCTTGTCAGCCAGGCTGGAGTGCAATGCACGATCTAAGCTCACTGCAACCTCCGCCTCCCAGGTTCAAGCGATTCTCCTGCCTCAGCCTCCCAAATAGTTGAGATTACAGGCATGTGCCACCATGCCCAGTTGATTTTATATTGTAAGTGAGATGGGTTTCTCCATGTTAGCCAGGCTGGTGTCAACTCCTGACCTCAGTATTCACCCCAGTGATCCACCCGCCTCAGCCTCCCAAACTGATGGGATTACAGGTGTGAGCCACTGTGCCCGGCCAGCCTGACCAGTCTCAGAATTGAATTTGGCATAGACACCCAGTCCTCCTCCTCCGCCGGCGCTCCTCCTCCTCCTCCTCCTCCTTCTTCTTCTTCTTCTTCTTCCTTCTTCTTCTTTCTCTTTCTTTCTTCCTTCTTCTTCTTCCTTCTTTCTTCCTTCTTCTCTTCTTCCTTCTTTCTTCCTCTTCTCCTCTCTTCCTCTTCTTCCTTCTTCCTTCTTCTTCTTCCTTCTTCCTCTTCTTTCCTTCTTCTTTCTTCCTTCTTCTTCTTCCTTCCTTCTTCTTCCTTCCTTCTTCCTTCTTTCTCTTCTTCCTTCCTTTCTTCCTTCTCTTCTTCCTTCCTTCCTCTTCCTTCTTCTTCCTCTTCTTTCCTCCTTTCCTCTCTCTTCTTTCCTTCCTTTCTTCCTTCCTTCTTCCTTCTTTCTCTTCCTTCTTCCTTCTTCCCTTCCTTCCTTTCTCTTCTTCCTTCCCTTCTTCCTTCTCTTCTTCCTCCTTCCTTCTTCCTTCTTCCCTTCCTTCCTTCCTTCTTCTTCCTTCCTTCTTTCTTCTTTCTTCTTTCCTTCCTTCTTTCTTCTTCTTCTCTTCCTTCCTTCTTTCTTTCTTCTTCCCTTTCTTTCTTCTCCTTCCTTCTTCCTTCTTCTTCCTTCCTTCTTCCTTCTTTCTTCCTCCTTCCTTCTTCTTTCTTTCTTCCTTCCTTCTTTCTTCTTTCTTCCTTCCTTCTTTCTTCTTCTTCTTTCTTTCTTCTTCTTCTTGATGGAGTTCCCACCACACCCAGCTGAGTGTGGGTGGTAGATCTCAGCTCACTGCAAGTTCTGCCTCTGTCTAATACGGATTCTCCTGCCTCAGCCTCCCGAGTCATTTTTGGGACACAGGCATGCGGCCACCACGCCCGGCCAGGCTCTTTTGTAGACATGGGTTTCCCCATGTTGGCCAGGCTGTCTCAAACTCCTGACCTCAGCACTGCCCATCTCAGCCTCCCAGCAAGCGGGATTACAGGTGTGAGCCACTGCACTCAGTTTCTTTTTTTTTTTTTTTTTTGAGATGGAGTCTCACTCGTTGCCCAGGCTGGAGTGCAATGGCAGCATCTGGCTCACTGCACCTCCACCGCCTGGGTGATTCTCCTGCCCAGCCCCTGAGTAGCTGGGATTACAGGCAGTTCGCCACGCCTGGGAAGATTTTGTCTTTGGCTGAGACGAGAGCCACCAAAGGCCAAGCCAAGTCTTGAACTCCTGATTTCAGGTGATCCACCTGCCTCGGCCTCCCAAGATGCGGATTACAGGCGTGGAGGCCACCGGGGCCTGCATTCCTCTTGCTTTTGCTCTCATTAGCATTTGGAGACATACTGCCATCAGTC